TAAGAAATTAATGTTTCGAATGACAAGCTGCCATATAATGATGATTATTGCAGTCGTTGACCATGAATAATTTTATTCGAAAAATATAGTTTTTTTCCCTGATATTTCGGTCCTGGTTTCTTCACAATCAATTCATAGTGGTTCTTTCACGAATTGAAATTAGAAACTATTGGTTCCTTTATATCAATGTTCAACGCATGTTCATAAACACTCAAATCAATTTTATTCACACATTTTGAGGATTCATAAAATATATTTATAATTTAAAATGTTTATAAACACTTTCGAAACATGTTCATAGTTTCTTGAAACATTCTAGTACTCTCGAAATATGAAACTTAGCGTTCACATCACTATATAATTCATGTATGTATTATTTATCCATGTTCAAATTTCAATTATTTAATATACGTATTATTTAAATAGTGGTAAAGAATACTTAATACTCAAATTTTCTCACTCCACTCTTTAGCAAAATAAAGCAATGAAGATTCAAAGTGGAAACCTCTTATGCATAAAGTCAATGGTAGTTTGGAAATCCAATCTTCTTGTCTTGGAAAAAGTTAACAATAGTAAGAAATATTAAACCAATTTGATTTGGTGGATAAAGTCAAAAGCTCCTTCACCTGCACAAACTAATCATTGTATTAATTAAAGGGCCATTAGAACACACACTAATCACTCCATTCATGTTCAACCAATTGCATTGGCTGCACATGCTATGACCAAATCACACAACTGTGAAACACTACCATTCTTTTTTCTTTTGAATCTAACTGGAAGATTTAAATTTCACGACGACAAAAATGTTTACATCATATTTGACTAAGCTTAAAAGGGTGTTGTTTATAAGCATATTTGTATTTTTTTTTTTTTTTTGAGTGTGAAAAAATAAATAGAGTCGAGTGTTGATTTAGCGCCTGTTTGAGCCTCATTTTTTGTTCAAAATGCATTTTGGAATATTGTTTTATTGGAAAATAAGAGGAAGAAAAATGTATTTCGAAAATAATAGAGACAAAACAAGGGTTTAGAGAGCTACTATTCACAAGCACCTGAAAAGAGACCAAAACAGGAGCTGATCAAGATGCGTTCCAAACCGACCTAAACTGATCGTGTTGACCAACAACAGAGTTGAGCAATCAGCTAAGAAGAGATGAAGCTAGACTATAAAGGTGTATAAACATTCTAATTGATTGTCCTTCTAGTATTGGGAACGAGAAGAAAGAGTTGTTAACACTTTGTTGAAGCATGAGAAGTCAAATCCAATGTTTCCCTCGACAGTCATTTTTTGACCAAAACAAGATGAAGACGAATGGAAGAGTATATTTGCTTTGCTAATACGAGCGATTTTATGATTTTTTTAAATGAAAATCATATTTATGATCATATATTTCATGGGGGTCTATATAATCTACTATCAAATTAATATTGCAAAATTATTTTCGTGATAAATCAAGAAGTCCAATCACTTGATGATAAATACTATACACCAACAAATTATATTGGCTTACTGACAAATAAAATAATAACATTGTTGGATTCGAATCTATGTACCTTCAAATTCATGTAATAATGCGAGTTGTCTATTTCTGTGCGGACGTCAATGCAGTTGCCTCTTTGGTGAAATTTCTAAAAAATTGCAGCATTCATATTCAATTATTACAATTTGTACAAAAATACAAATCGGGAACTGCACGTTAATGCCACGAGGACAGAGGAAATGTGACATTTAAAGTCCATACAAAGTTAGTCACCAAACCTGTAGTTTTATTTCAATTGCCGAATTAAAATAAATAATAGATATTCTCACAGACGGCACCAATTGAAGATATTAATTTTTGTAACCACTCTTCGATTGGGGACATATGAGGATGGCAAATTTGACTAGCTAGAATTAATCGAAGCCCAACTATGACCCACTTTGATACTAAAGGAGGGAGGACTAGTGCACACATCATTAGAAATGATACAACTAGTGGACCTAAGATCGGATCCGTTGACTCGGACGAGCCGACAAGATGGGAAAAACTAAAGGCTATGTAATTAAGTTCAAAAAGAAATGGTCCATGTGGCATTTCAAAAGCCCAATTCATCTCAGGATATGATTTTTCAGATGTACGTTAAAAATAATGCACTAAGAGATTTTTTTATATCACGTCATCATTTCAATTAACTATTACAATATTTCTAGTAAGTTAGACGTAGACGGTCCAACTAAACCTTCAACTACTATAACTAGAAGGTCATTCCATTCATGTAAAGTGTGAAAAGATCACTTCAAGCTACAGTATTATAGACTTGAGCATTATGTAACTTTTGATCACGTATCGTCCATTCATTTTCTAGTGATTGAGCGGACTTTCGATGTTTTAGTGTCCATTTGATAACATTTATAAATGGTTAAATTTTATTTTCAACCACACGCTTCAATGGATCTATAGATATGTGATATACCTCTAAAGGGTGCCCCTTTCTATTATTATTAAAAAAAAAAAACTCTTTCTCGATCTTGAATATCACTTCGTTTGTTGGCTCTTAGAGACATTGAAAAAGTACCTGATATATCGATTTTTGAGTTCATGATGGGTTCTTTGGAATGGAATCCCAAACCAAGCACAACAAAAGCAAGCCAGTGTATTTTTTTCCTCAAGAACCCATCACTGGAATTAAAAAAGAGAAGAATCGTAGTTCAGCATTTCAAGTGATTAGACGGGGCAAGAATTGAAATAGGGGAGGTTTGTAATTATTTTTCAATCTTTTACGTCATTGTGGTCGGACTCTAGTAAGGATTTTTTACCACATTTTTTTACAAGGCCCACTTATCTTTTCCTTCTCCGAATTCAAGTTATGGAAGAAGGAATCGAGAAGATGGTATCAGTTGCAGGCTTAGTTTACAAATTTTGGCCCACGTTTGATGGTCATTATTTTGAGAAAATAGAGTTTTGAATAATAAGTTTTTAGAAAATGCATGATTAAAAAGTAGGAAAAAATTTTGGACTTACATGTAAAATATTACTTTTTGTTTTTCAATATGTAATAAATACTACAAAATCATTATTATGTATGAATTTCGTGTTATTAATTCTCAATTAATTAACATTCACATTAATCTAGATTCAATGAATCTTAATTTACATAAATTTATAATTATTATAGATGAATTTATTTCTATTCATGTATCTAGAAATTTTAGTAGGTGTTTAAATTCATGTATTAGTAACTAATTCTTATGTACCAAATGATATAAAAAGTTGCTCATTTGTAATATTTCATCATCACAAAAAAAATTGAATCATAGCGGGAAGAGGATGCGGTAGAGGGAAGGAGAAGAAAACACTTTTTCTTTGATTTATATTTTTTAAATTTAATTATTAATATATTATAATTGTGTTTTTAATGAAAAAATGTAAAGTTACAATTTTATCCTTTTAGAATTAATCAAAACTATGGTCAACGTTAATTATTTGGTCAACTAACGGTTTCCTTTCATTTAGACTTCAACTGCGACATTTTGAAAGGTTTGATATCGTGGATGACACAAATGAAAAGTTTGGACAAAGTCTGCTACTAAATGAAATATTTAGTACCGTGACTGTAATTTTTCCTTATATAAATATGTAGTTAAAAATAAGTACGAAAATTAAGAAATTTTGAAATAACCATTGTCAAACTGTACTTAATAAATTGCTGAACAAATTCCAATGCTATACATTTTTAAGGTCTTATTCCATTTTGTTGAAAGAAATAAAGAAGATGGATGTTTGATCTTCTCCTAGTTTATTATTGTATAAATCAAAAATCAGGTCACCTGACTTTAGTCACGTGCCTCTTTTTCCCTCTTTTCTCCTTCCCCACCGATTTTTTGTCACTTGACTTCGATTTAAAGTTTTATATCAATATGGTCAATTGGATATATCTAATTAATTCGTCATTTGCATATTTTTCAAAAGTTAGGTTCCACATATTAATTAACAAAAGAAAATACGTGAAAAAAATATGCCAAAAATATCTTTTTCAATTTTATTGACTTTAACACATTAATATAAATACATAAGTTTTAATTCTCGAGTGTGTTTATTCAAAGTTTGCCATTTTTTTTTTATTTCTCCAACGATAAATGAACGAAAATGCGCAAGATCGGATTCCTTGCACAATAAATTAGTGTTGTCTCGTGTCATCTAAACTGATGATAGTATTCTCTGAAAATTTCTATTTTCTTCTCACTTGACCTAAATAATTCGATAAAATTCTTCCATTTTCATTAGTCGTTAATTAATTTAAAAAAAAAAAAACGTTATAGAACATTTTAATTTGATCACATTGCACTTCACTTTTATTCTTAGCCATCGTTTGGTTTAACTAAAAATTATACTTCTATTAAATTTTGATAAAAATTGATGAATGTACGATTGAAAATTTAGGGCATGTTTAGATCAGATTTTAATCTAAATCAAAGTCAAACAATCAATATCAACCACATCTTTCATGGGTCTCACAACTATGGAATCACACATTTCAAAAACTTTTATCAAAATCTACTAAAAATCTAATTTTAATCCCTACCAAACACCCTCTAAAAATTTCTTTCATGGGTCTCACATCTTTTCAACCGTAAATTTCAAAAACTTCTATCATAATCCACTTAAAATCGGATTTTAATTTACACCAAACACCCTGTTAATGAAAATTGTGGGTCTCATGAATTAATGTAGGTTTGAAAATGAGATGAATTAAAGAAAATCAGAGTCAATAGTGGAATACTGTTCATGATTTTCTAATTTACCTTGGCAAAGAGCAAATATGTAGTTATCATGTAGTTTTATGAGTAATGTGTCCCAAATATGTAAGGAAGAAACTCGTTTTCCAACAACATTTGGTTGGGCAAAATTCTAGTACTGATACTGTTTATACGTACAGATAAATATATATATCTCCTTCACACTCTATGTACATTGATTCGAAATCAATTTCACTGAAAAAAACATATGTAATTTTAATCCTTAACCTCTTGTCCGAATGATCGTGATTGTACCCCTCCCTTGAGTGTGAATTCTGGTGAGTGCCACCACAGCCTTACCAGACAAACCCGGTCCGTCGGCAGATGACACTAATGGCCTGCAGGCAAAATCCCCTACCGGATGTCGTACCGGCCTACTCGGAGGCATTAGAATCCTTTCATTTATGTCGTCTAATGTCACGTCGCCTTCAAATCCTCCCGGTTTAACAAAATCGAATGGATACACAACCTTGTCTTCTATCACTCTCTTCTTCGATCTCTTCTCGCCACTCGCACCTGAAATTAATGTGCGTTAAGGTAAGATCCCACGTCGACTAAAGATGAAAATAATGACCAGGCGAACAAACTTACCCGAAGAAAATAGGGTTTGTTTATCAGATGTTGGTTGAGTGTTGAGTGATGAGATTGATGATGTTTGCTCATTAGATCATTTTTGATATAAATACATAAGTTTTAATTCTCGAGTGTGTTTATTCAAAGTTTGCCATTTTTTCTTATTTCTCCAACGATAAATGAACGAAAATGGGCAAGATCGGATTCCTTGCACAATAAATTAGTGCAGTCTCGTGTCATCTAGACTGATGATAGTATTCTCTGAAAATTTGTATTTTCTTCTCACTTGACCTAAATAATTCGATAAAATTCTTCTATTTTCATTAGTCGTTAATTAATTTAAAAAAAAAAACCTTATAGAACATTTTAATTTGATCACATTGCACTTCACTTTTATTCTTAGCCATCGTTTGGTTTAACTAAAAATTATACTTTTATTAAATTTTGATAAAAATTGATGAATGTACGATTGAAAATTTAGGGCATGTTTGGATCAGATTTTAATCTAAATCAAAGTCAAACAATCAATATCAACCACATCTTTCATGGGTCCCACATCTTTTCAGCCGCAAATTTCAAAAACTTCTATTATAATCCACTTAAAATTGGATTTTAATCTACACCAAACACTTTGTTAATGAAAATTGTGTATCCCATGAATTAATGTAGGTTTGAAAATGAGATGAATTAAAGAAAATCAGAGTCAAAAGTGGAATACTGTTCATGATTTTCTAATTTACCTTGGCAAACAGCAAATATGTAGTTATTATGTAGTTTATCGAGTAATGTGTACCAAATATGTAAGAAACTCGTTTTCCAACAACATTTGGTTGGGCAAAATTCTAGTACTGATACTGTTTATACGTACAGATAAATATATATATCTCCTTCACACTCTATGTACATTGATTCGAAATCAATTTCACCGAAAAAAAACATATGTAATTTTAATCCTTAACCTCTAGTCCGAATGATCGTGATTGTACCCCTACCTTGAGTGTGAATTCTGGTGAGTGCCACCACAGCCTTACCAGACAAACCCGGTCCGTCGGCAGATGACACTAATGGCCTGCAGGCAAAATCCCCCACCGGATGTCGTACCGGCCTACTCGGAGGCATTAGAATCCTCTCATTTATGTCGTCTAATGTCACGTCGCCTTCAAATCCTCCCGGTTTAACAAAATCGAATGGATACACAACCTTGTCTTCTATCACTCTCTTCTTGGATCTCTTCTCGCCACTCGCACCTGAAATTAATGTGCGTTAAGGTAAGATCCCACTTCGACTAAAGATGAAAATAATGACCAGGCGAACTAACTTACCCGAAGAAAATAGGGTTTGTTTATCAGATGTCGGTTGACACAACTCACTACTCTAACTACTACATGAGTCATATGTTTGAAAGGCTGAGATTGCCTCTTGTGATGTTTTCATGTCAGTGAAAAGTGATGCATCCTCACTCATATTGCTCACTGATCTGCTCATACCTGCAAATATATACACATAACAAACACATGCATAAATTTTACTGTAATCAGGCAATAATAGGAATTTATTTATTCATAATTCAAGACATGGATTGATGCTATCACACTTACTTATTTGGCCAAATGCATCATAACTTTGATAAGAATTCTGAACAAAATTTGAGTTCCTGCAGTTCTGTATACAATGATTTTCAGAATCTACACCACTGTACTGCATCATAATCAAAAAATTTATTATCACCTCAATCGAATTGTTGAACTCTTTGGTTTGATCTTCATCAAACAAAAGCAATCTTCTTCGCTTAGAGCTGAATTCAAACAAAGCATCTTGCAGATATCCCGTTGAATAATCAGCTTCAAGAGGTGAAAAAAATGTTGGGGTGTTCTCCATCATCATCACTAACAAAAATCAAATTAAATTCATATACACACATATATATAGTAAAAAAAAAATGAAACTGTACAGAAAACGAGAGGTGAAGAAGAAAAGAGAAAAGTAGTGTAGTTACATTGTGATGTGTCTGCGTTGAAAACTCCAAGATTTTGTAATTCCCAAGCTAGGGAAGAGCTATGGCTGCTATAAGCAATGGAGTGAAGATCACTCATTTTTTTTGTTTTTGTGTATAGTGTATAGTAGAGAGAAATATGTGAATTTAAAGGAAAGTGAAAAAGAATAAAGTGACAAAATCAGATTGTTTTAGAAGTAATCAGTCACTCAGTCAACGGCCAGCAAGAGAAAAAAAAAAAGTTGATTATTTCTTGGGATTCAAAAGTAATTTACTTTTTCTTAAGAATTTTATATGTGAAGTGGGTGATGTGGGGGACTAAATAATTGCACTATACAAGGCAGGCAATACACGAATGAAAGAGCAAGCAGGCAAGCAATATCAGTAACAGTACATAATTCAAATTAAGCTTTTCCTTTTTCATTGTTGTGATTTGACATGGTTACCAACTGTTAACTCTTTTTGGAACTTTTTTTTCTCATTCTTGCTATTGTGGGGTCATATCACATTCACAACAGCATTTACTTCTCTCTTTTTTTTTCCATAATTTTGGTCGACAAAAGTCTAAATCTTGTAAGAGAGTTTTCCATGAGTTGTTTGGTGGGACCAGAAAATGGCATGCTGATGGGCCCACTATAAAGGAAATATTGCTGGTGTATGTCGTTGAACCAGTACGATGATCAAGTTTCTTGTTGATTATTTGAATGTATGTCGAGTCAGCCACAAAAATGAATGGAATAAGAGGCAGCAGTAAAAGTTGATATTTTGTGTAATAAGTCATGAGCTTTTGACTTTGGAAACGCTTTGGTTAAGGTTTGATCAGAGCCAGAACTCATAAATGGATATGAAACATACGATTTTGCCCATGATCTTGTGATAGTATTACTTAAGTGTTTTTAAAGTGACTTGGTAGTTATTCTTGATAGAAATATTTTTAAGGGTTTCAATTAAAAATAGTATCAAATTAATCTTAATTTGAAATCTGAACATTAGAAATACCACAACCACTGATAAGTGTGTTTTACACACTAATTTTGGGCCACAGACATGGATAACTGTTAATAAACATGTGGAATATAGTTTAATTCGATATAATTTGTGTTTTGCAGGACAATAATGATGAATATGGCGGAAATTAGGAAAAACAAGTGAAATGGGCTAAAATGAAGTAAAATCAAAGTTTGAGGACTCAAGTGCAAATACTGAAATGTTGTGTCGATCTCACGATGAAGATTTGAGAGTGTTGGGCATCAATTGGATGAAAAAAGAAGCCAAATAGATGAAATATAGTCGAAGTACTATCACATATTAACTTCCAGCCGAAAAAGTTATGCTTCGAATTTTCAGTCTCAATTTGAGACCGGCATGGAAAACGTTCGAATTTGAAAACTTATATTTCTGGATGATTTTTATATCTTTGAGTCAGCTTTCCAATGCATTTTGAATCGCCTCAATCGGATATCACCAGAGAAAGATACGACCAAAATACTGAAAATTGTCCGACGAAAAAAAATTATAACTATACGGTCACATAGTTCAAAATCCATGCGACCGCATAGAAGGTTTCGGAGAATTTTAGGGGCAAATTTATTGTTCTATGCCACCGCATTCAACATAAGTATGTGGTCGCATAGTGTTTTTCTGGGCATGAATTTCTAGTTTCCTATTTTGATTGAAACACCTATGGAAACAAATCTTGTGATGCATATATAAACCCTGGGGCCATCCAGAACGTAAGGAGGAGAGGGGAAAAGACTTTTGAGAGAAGAAAAGAGGTAAGAACGCGAAGATCAACTCCAAGAACACAAAGATCCAATTCAAGAATCGAATCGAATCGATAATGTCGTTTTTTATTTATTTTTCTGATTTTCTTCTTCCCACCATACTAAGCTAGATTAATTTTGTATTAGGGTTACATGAACTATGTAATATGATTTTTATTTCTTAGTTTTACATTCTTGACAACCAAAAACACATTTTAGGATATTTGAATGATTTATATGAATTTATTTTTCTTCACAATTATATGCGCAATGATTGTGTGAGTTTGGTGGCTTATTTCATCCATTCGAAAGAAGGGGAATATGTTCGACATATATAAATCATCATAGGGTCCGATAGGGGATAGAAATATACCGCTATACTTTATGTGAATTTTTAAGTGTTCATAAAAACACATGCATTCTTGTAGTCGGATCGCATATTTGAATAGGTTTAACTCTACTCGAGAGAGATTATTAAATAATTTAGGAGCATTGATTTTTCAATATTTCAACCGTGTGTCAAGTTGTAAAATTAGGTTTAAAAAGAATATTATATAGGGATTCGTGTACATTCATCATATATTATAAAACACTTCAATTTACATTCATCATCAATTTGCATTTAGTTAGTTAATTCATTCATACTTGCATATTGATCATTAATTTAGTTATAATTTCATCAAAACATATATTCTCATTTTTATAGTTTCGGTTAAGATCGTAGTAATTAGAATTAGAACTAATCAATTTTCGTGGGAACGATATTCGGACTCAAAAAGTCCACTTTATTACTTGTAACGAACCGTACACTTGCGGTGATTTTAATTCGATATTTTTTCGTGAACAACCACCCGTAACTTGGTCATTATCACCGCCAATATGGGCCAAGATGTTACACGGAAAAGCATCTTGAGTCGAAATAACACCAATAAATCTCATCATCATTATGGCTTGATGATGCAAATGTACTAGTGGTGGGGGTGATTTAGGGTTTCGAGTTGGTGGTTTATGACAATGGTGGTATTGCAATGTAGTTAATGACAAATCTTGGTGTTGTCGCTTGGTGGCGGGGTCAATGAAAATACCCATCTTTATGAATTTTAACCCAAACCAGCCATGACAACGCTGAATTTATTGGGAGAATGTGGTGCGAACGATTTAAATAATATAAAAAAAAAAAATTTGGGAATAAAAAAAAGGTTGGATAGTAGTATGAGAAATTGTTTGGTTTTTTGGTTTACTTGTGTAAGTTTCCATATTTTTATCTAGACAATTTAGTTGAAAATGGATCAATTTTTGCCTTTGAGTAAAACTTATGGGTTAAAGCCTGTTATACAAAACTGAAATCCAGTAATCTCAAAACCATACTGAAACTCAAGATCTATTACAACACCAGATTGAACAAACCAAATGGCATAAGGTTTCACATAACTGGGCTCACAATATAAGGATCCTTTCGAGTATTGTACCGTTCTGTATCACGGTGACCCCATGAACCCAAACCCCTAAAATGGCAAAGTGAAGCTACTTCAATGGACCATATAATATCAACCCAATACTTTAAGATCTTCTTTCAATAAAAATCACAAAAACACGCTCAAAAATCTCTCCAACGAAAAGGTTTCAGATGACATAGAAAAGACGAAGACAAACAGAATCGCACAGAGAAAAAAACCCTAGAACTCACACGGAGAACATACGATTAGAATGACCAAAAATATCTCACAAGGGCATTATTTACACTAATACTTACTGATAAGTATGTTTTTATACACTTATTTAATAACTAAATATACTTATTATTGATAAAAGAGCAGATATCGGCTAACAATTGGGCAATTTAGATTTTTGTAGGTCATAAACCCAAATGAAAAGAGAATAAGGCAAAAAGAAGAGAAAATAGATCAAAGCTTACAAAACCATGAAGTTAGGGACTAAAGTGCACAAGTTAGAAAGTTGGACGACTATGGATGCAAATTATTACGGGCATGATTGAAATGAAAGTCAAAATTTGATGATCAAATTGTGCAAGATGAAAGTTGAGGGACCGGAAATGCAAATACTGAAGGACTAAGCTTGATGAAATGAAAGGAGGAAAGACATGCGCGCGCGGAAAACTTAAAAACTAACTCGAGAGAAAAGCGCAATGCCCGTGCACGCACCAGTAATGCCCACGTGAGCGTGCCACTTCCTGGCTAGGGCCTTTTTGCTATTTTTACCAAATTTCGAAGGCTTTTTTAGCAATTTTCGGAACACGTTTTTACGGCTTTTATAAGCTATTTTCAACCACTTTGGAGGGGGCTCTTTTTCTCTCTTCGATCTTGTCTTCCTCTTCCTCTTCCTCTTCCATTTTCTTTTCATTTTCATTTTCTTTTGATTTTCTTGGCATATTTGGGACAAAACAAAGAGCACAAGGAGAAGCAATTAAGGAGTTGGAGAAATATTTGAAAATCATGAGCTAGACATTTTCATCTTCACAAATCCAACCAAAAAGGATTTTTTTCTATAATACTGTATTTTCTCCATTATTTTGCTAAACTTATAATGTATTATTATAAATATTTCCTTTTTATTATTTGTATAAAATAGGCTAATATAAACACAACCCTAAATTGGTAGTAACTAGACGTAGCTTTAATTAATTTTAATATTTGCTCTTTGATTTTAAGTTATTTTTACTATTGTTATTATTGCATTTCATTTATACGGCTAATGAATGATTATGTTTAGTGATTTATACATTGTTCAAGAAAAGATTGTGTGTTTTAGATCAAATAGTAGAAACTCTAGGTTTGTATAGGAGATAAATATATACTACTAATCATAGGTAATCCATTGAACTATTTTCACAAAAAAATAATGTGATTGATTAGTTTTAATCTACATAAAGATATAGTAGATTAAACCAATCAATTATAGTTAATTTCGCTCGACAGAGGTAATTAATTAAAATTGAAAAATCGGGTCTAACATCATAAATAAGTAATTTATTAATTAACTTGTAGAGAAATTAATTAGGCGATGGTTAAGTGAAACCATGAATCTAAACCATGTTTTTTTTTCCAAAACTCGCAAGTGTTATATTTTCTTATTTTTGTAGATTTTTAGTTTAATTTTTTCCTTATTTTCAAATCATAATTTTAACTGTATGTGTTTCTCTTTATTGTTGAAATTAAATTAATTAAAGTTGTGTAATCGAAAGTAAACATACCTCGATGGATTGACAATTCGAATTCAAAAAATCCACTTTATTACTTGAACACGACCCGTGCACTTGCTGTTTGCACTTCTTAGCGAACACTTACCACTGTTGATCTCAAATTAAGATCAACAGTCC